AGAAAGAGTCACTGAGCACAGCACTGCAGTGGTAGCAAGGAGCAAAAAGTTCAAGTACCAATATGGGCCTTGAATACATAACCTGGCTCTGAGGAAAGCAACAATAGTTAAGCCATGTACAGAAATGCGCATTTATACAGCCAATATTCTTGACATCTCCAACACCCTTTATCAGCCCCAGATTCTACTTCAGACTGTGTATTTTTTCATATTAATCTCGCTCTCAATAAGCTTCCCAGCTTTTTCCAAAAAAGGCAGGGAGTTATTAAAAAATTGCATTTACAAGTAGCATTTGTGCATTAAAACCCCAGTTAATTTGTATTTTAGCCAATTAACATTGTGGAACTTCCATGGTGGTCTGGACAATTCAGTCAAATGCATGTACGCAACCCATGAGTGCTTTGTCAGCCAGAAATACATAAAAACCAGTGTTAGCTGATTTCAATGCTGAAATACTAAATCAATTGGTGGTTCTTTGCAAAAACTCAGTGAACTTCCAAGTATTTGTCCTTAATGTTAAAATATTTTCTAAAAACAAATAAGTTTGCAAAAACCAGGACTGGTTCCAAAGACATTATGAAGTAAAAGTAACACAACTCCCTCAAAACAAACAAAAACCCACCCCTTCAATGAAATTAACATACACAGATTGAGACATGCTATTCAAACATAATTAATGCACTACTTGAAGGACTGTATTAAGAGTTGTGTGGGGGACGGATGGCTAGGGGCCAGTGGAGGAAAGAACAAAAAGATCATCCCAGCAGATTTTGCGTTTCTGTATGTTAGCCACTGCTCAGCATACTGTCTCCTTAACCTCTAGCAGAGGTTTAGACAGAAGATTAAGGCACAATCTCTAGAAATTCTAAGTTTCTGATAACATATAATCTGAACACATTAAGCCACCACCCTCACAAAACCACCACCATCTATCAATACAGAGTTGGAGCTATGATATAAATATGAGTGTAATTTACAGCTACAGACTTTTTTTCTGGGGGCATGGAAGGTACTGCTAACAAAAGTAGACGTGAACCCATTGCTGCTGAGTACAGCTCAAGAAAGGGACCACTATGTACAACTAAATATAGAGGAAACAGTATTCATAACTTAATCATAAGAACAGGCGTAGGAAATCCAACACCCCAATTTTCCTCTCAGAAAAATTAGGAGTTACTCACTAAAACGCAATTGCATTAGAACAGCATGAAAACAGAACCTGTGATGCTGGCAGACCAGGAACTAGCTCCTTCCAAAATTCCCATGTCTCAGCTGAACTCTGGGATAGGTATTAGAGGGATTATGAAGGAGCAAGGAGTTTCCTAGGACTAAGGAAGAGACAGGTGTTCCCTGAAAGCTATACTTGTGTGGCTGCTCACGAATGATTCAAATGCCACCCGGCTGAATAGCAGAGCATCCACAGCTAGATTTCTGTTTCTAATAGTGGTGCACATTCACACATCCACATATGATTTATTCTGCACATGGAGAGAAAAAAATCCACACATGGATGGAAAGGATTAGGAAGAGCATTGGAGGAGATCCCCATCTGCTTAGTCTGAGTTAACTCTAAAGGACAATTGAGCTTGCTGATTATAAAAGTCTCTATTACCACTTACAGCCCAACTAATTCACAAGTCTAAATTCATGTGAGTTAACCCTAGTTTCCTTTTCCTATTTAATACATCTTCATATAATTTATTATAGGAATGGCTTACAAGCATTGTCTTCCATGTGAGATCCAAAACATTGGGAAAGTGACTGGTACTTTGGACCTAGCAATAAACTGAATATTGTTGTGACCCTGGATTTAAGGGCCATCTATCAGAAGGATACCTCGCCTGGGTGAGGATACAGACTAGAGTATCCAAGAAGACTGTCCGTGATTCTGTTTAAGGCTGTTACTGTGCCTGAGGAGTTTGCTCTTATTGTGGCTGGTTAGTGAAATCTAAGTTTAGGATGCATGACCATTTGAGGGTTTGTGCCCTGGTGTTTTAATAATCCCTGAGGTTGGTACCCATGCTTTTGCACCATTATTGGGAGTGTCACAGGCTCATGATGTCAGCACTTCCCAAGCTTTGAATTTGTGGTTGACTAACCCCATTTCTTTAAAGAGAGGGACACTTACCATTTTGATACATTCATCATCAGTCAAGCTTTTCATGACAACTTCTGAACTGCTATCTTCTTCACTGCTTGCAGGTTCTGTGCCACTGTGATCCTAGTAAAGAGATTGTTTTAAAGTATGTTACCCCTAAATAGCCTGTGATAAACAGACAGCTTACAGAATTTATGTGATGTCATGCTTGTTTGATATAAGGAAGATGATCCACAATAAATCATTATTGATTAAAACCTGTGTTTCAAGCAGGTGCTGGTCTTTATTGGTGAAGGATCAATCTCCATTAGTATCTCCTCTGAAAGTACATAATCTAGTTTACAATTTAAGATATGAACAATTCATTTACAGCAAAAAATGTGATATAAAGTTCTATACAAGAATATTTTATAATAACCATTTGAAGTATTTTTAAAGGGACATCAGAGGACTGATGGGTAACTCTGCAAGTCAAAAATTCTGAATTTAGCCACAAAATATGTCTGGCAGCAAAAACTTCACTGCATGTACCTTTACCCTTGTACTGGGTCTATCTTGAAGGGTCAAACAGCAAAGGGGAAAGAATTCTTTTGCTCCTGCAGGGTACTGGGTTTTGGATGGACACTTGACCATGGTGACCTGGAGACTACCAAACAGTTCCATGGGATATGGCGCAACTATCAAATGAAAGTAACTTCACTCTGTTGACCTAAATTATATTGTAAACGGAGAACTAGAGATAGAAGTTTCTATAACTGTCACCAATCCCAGAGTTATTCCACCACTCAATATCAAATTACAAGTGTTCTCCCCATCCCCCAAATGTACCTTTGAACAAAGATGTCTTAAAATTTATATTGCCTAATACTACGAGGTGCAGAACATGGCAGCTGAAGTTACTCTTTATCTTATCATCAGCATCTGCCAACATAAGAAAGTATGAGTTTAGATATAGTTACGCCGACCATTCGTCTTGGATTTTCTGGAACAGTCCCAGTTTCCAATATTCTGTCACATTGCCCCCATAAACCATCAAAATGTCCCAGAATGCCAATATTTTGTTAATTTTTTGGGGGGTGGGGAGGAAGGGGAGAAAAAGCCCCAATGCTCCCTTCTGGATCTGGCTTGCAGGGAAGAAGCGCAGCCAGAAGTGGCTGTGTGTGCTGCTGCTCCTCCCCCTCCTCCGGATGGGGAACAGCAGTGCAGAGACGCACTTCATGGAGGCTTTTCCGGCTGCTCTGGAATCCAACTAATAGGAGCAGTGGGAGGCAGTGCTGGGCCCCATGAAAGTAAGTGGCTCCCTCTTCCCCTCCTGCCCAGACTCTGCATCCCCAGCTCACTCCCTCACCAATAAGACTCTGTACCCTCAGCCCCCTCACTCACTGCCCATCTGTGACGGAGCATCTGCCCCGCACTGGCCCTTTAAGGGTAAAAACCCCAGCCCTGGGAGTGGGCTGAAAGCAAAGCCCACAGCTGTGGCAGATAGTAGCCAATTAGGGCCCAGTTGCGGCTACATAAATAAGGGCTCCAGGAGGGAGGAAGAGGGAGACTCTTGCTCTAGTTGGGGAGGAGGAGGGACCTGTCTGCAAGGGAAGCTGGGGGCTTCCTAGGACAGGGCAGTGCAGGGGAAGGGCAGGCAGGGCTGAGGAGCTCCGGCCTGGTCTCGCTCTTAGGTTGAAGAGCTTGAAGCAAGGTCTCAGGATTCTAGGGCTGCAGGGAGGCGGCCAGGATAGGCAAAGGCAGCAGGTCCACCGCCTTGCCAAGGATGAGTGGTCATTCCAGACTGCAGTTTGCCCCGAGGTAAGGGGCTAGATGATGACTGGCAGTGAGTCACTGAGGAAAGGGGAATTACAGGTTCCCTGGGAGGAGAAGACCCCAGAGTGCAGATACTGATAAACACACCCCCCCCCCATGAAAAACACTGAAGAGGTCACTGCTGGAGGGCAGTGTCCTGAAGAGGATGCCATGGTCTGGGAGCAACACTGCCCATAGTTCGACAGTATGAAGCACGTGGTGGCCCAACTCTCATTTGGGCTTTCTAAACACTATAGTGAGACATATAATAATGGTCTTGGGAAGCAAGGAGGACATGGGGGGAGACTAGCCAGAGAAAAGTGCCCAATGGATGAGTTAATTCCCAGTGCTACTGGCAGGAGGCAGCGTGGCAGTGAGTGTCTGCCCCATGACACCTGCTGACACCCCGTATCTCAGCCCACTCCCTCACCATCCTGTAATTTAATTTTTATACTCTTGTAAGTCTTTTCATATAAAGAAATTCACAAATCAGAAAAAAAAATCCTTTGTCAGATCATGTATCCCTATTTTTGGTTCAGAAAATATGCTCACCATAGATATAGTACAGGGGGCAAGAGCAGGTACTGACCACGAAACATTTAAAGTGAGTCTAAAGGCTTGGTCCATAGAAACCTCAGCCTAACCACGATTCTGTCTGCATGGAACAGGATTGAGTGGAGCATGAAGCCAACATTCTTTTTTTACAAAAATAGATGACTGAAACTCAGGGTTTTGATTCAAGAGTTCCCTTGAAACAAAAGCCAATTAATGTGGCTTTTCTGTACAAATTAAGAGCACTCAAATCAGATTACAGGGTATGATACATGGCCTTAAACATGACTGTATCTTGAAAACTACAGAAAGCATATTCCAGAAGTTCCACATAACACTGCAAAGAACGCGCTAACACTGCATGACTGTAACGATGCTTACTGAAATATCCAAAAGCAAACGCACCAATGACAGGAATTTAACAATCAAGGCTAGCTCAAGCCCCAACTGATTCATAAAACATGCTTTGCTTTATAAGCTTAAGAAGATATAGAATTAATAAGCAGCTAGCTATGTGCTATATCTATAAGTAAGTACCATATTTCTCAGTTACATTACAATGATGAGACATCATATTTATAATGTGATAACATTACAGATTGCATTGCACAGTAGGCACACTACCTTCATAATGCTCAAAAGGGTAAAAAAGAGTTACAGTAGGGCTGATGCAACAGCCATAATATAGAACAGCACTGACAGCACTTCCCCACTGGGGAAGCTGTTAGAACAAATAGAAACATTCATATGCTTTTAGTCGCTAAGAGGCACATTATGCTACCATGTACTAAAACGCGATGTTAATATGTCAGTGTGTCTGGGTCTCTCTGGCAGTGGAGTGGCCACTGGTTAGGTCCCAGAATTAGCCAGCAGAAAGGGGGTGCAGAACCCTGCTTCTTGTGCCCCTGGCCTAGAAACTCCAGCTCACTGTATTAGTATAATCTTTAAGTTTTGGACATGGCCCTAAGAGTCCAGGTTTCCCTCTTAGTTAGGGGTCTCGCAGGTTCCCCACACACACACCCTGTCCCAAGGGGTGTGGTTGGAGGCTTACTTGCTCTGGTGGCTGGCCAAGTGGATAGGCTTTGGTTTGTGTCCAGAACTGCATTCCTGTCTCCTTGCTGGTCAGCCCCTAAACTGAGCCAGGCTCCTCCCTTTTATCATCCCTCCAGGCCTAGAATTGGCTATAGGCTTTGTTTAACCCCTGCGATGCTAGGTCCTCCTCTCCACTCCTTCACACATTACTCCTCCCCCACCCCCCACTGATGACCCCTATTGGAGTCGGCCCTCCCTCAAGCGGCACTCCACCCTCCCTGGAGAAAAAGTCTAGATTTACATGGGCCCTCCTGGCCCAGCGTTAGACCCTGTAGGAGAAGGGTTGGAGGGAGAGTGGTACCACTGTGTGATTCTAGGGTTTGTGTCCTTCATTGCATGTAGCCAGCAGAGAGGGATATGGTCTGTGATGAGGGTAAAGTGTCTGCCCAGTAGGTAATAGTGGAGTGAGTCCACCACCCATTTCACCGCTAGCGTCTCCTTTTCGATTACGGAATAGGCCATCTCCCTCCGAAACAACTTCCTACTAATGTAGAGAATCAGGTGTTCATCATCTTCTACTACCTGGGAGAGAACAGCTCCTAGGCCTATGTAGGAGGCACCCGTTTGTAGCAAGAACTTCTTTGAGAAGTCGGAGCTGTACAAGACGGGTTCTCAACAGAGCTGGGCTTTTAGGGCTTGGAAAGCTTCCTCACAGGCTTTCATCCACTGGATCCAGTTTGGACTCTCGTTCTTGAGGAGATCAATCAGAGGTGCCAGGATAGAGGAGAACCTGGGATGAAGGAGCAATAGTAACCAGCCAACCCTAAAAACTGGTGTACTTGGGGTTTTTTGATGATGGAGGGGCACCTCGTTGGAGAGCTTGGACCTTTCCGACTAGGGGACAGACAGTGCCTTTCCCCAAAGTGTAGCCCAGGTAGGTGGTCTCATCCCTTCCGAGCTGGCATTTTGCAGGGTTCACTGTCAGGCCAGCTTCCTCAAGGGACTGCAACACAGCCACCACATGTTGTAAGCGAGTCTGCCAGTTGCAGCTATAAATCACTACATCGTTCAAATAAGCAGCCATGTACTGGCTATGGGGATGCAGAATGTGTTCCATTAGTCACTGGAATGTGGCAGGGGTGCCATGCAACCCAAAGGGCATGGTTTGGAACTGGAAGAGTCCAAAGGGGGTGGAGAATGCCATCTTCTCTTTGGACTCACATTATGGGGGATTTGCCAGTACCCTTTGGTAAGTCTAGTGTAGCAATTTATTCTGCCTCCCCAAGCTGATCAAGCAGCTCATCCACCTGGGGCATCAGATATGTATGAAATTTGGACACAGCATTCACCTTTCGAAAGTTGATGCAAAAACAGGTGTTCACATTGGGTTTGGCAAATAGGACTAGTGAGCCCTTCCAGTCACTGAAGGACTCCTCGATTACCCTCAATGCCAGCACCGACTAGAATTCTTGCTTCACAACTTCTCTCAGTTTTTGGGGAAAAGTCCGGGGGTTCTCCCGGACCTTAACCCCAGGTTCCATCTGGCTGTGATGGACAGCCAGGTGAGTGCAGCCTGGTTTGGCCCAAAAGGCAGATGAGAACGTAGCAACTGAGCCAATCTGGACCTCTCCTGGTTTTGATGCATCATCTGCCTGTGAACCCAATTCCGAATCCGGCAGGTAGGGTTATTAGTAACCCTTCCAGGGTTTTCAGAGCTATCGACAGATAACTCTGTCGAACGTTGTCAGGCTGGTGCACCTCAGTTTACTGGCCCATCTCTGAACCACCTCTAAGTCCCTGCTATTAGGAAAGGAGTTTTGAGTCCGAACTGGCAGAAGTAGGACCCAATACCCCAGGCTGGAATTCGTGGAGTTTTGTCTGTTTACTTTGCCTCCTGGGCTTCTTGGGCATGTAGAAGGTTCTCTCAAGCAAATGTGCCTAACACTGCAAGTGTCTCTGGAAGCGAGGGATAGCTCAGTGGTTTGAGCATTGGCCTGCTAAACCCAGGGTTGTGAGTTCAATCCTTGAGGGAACCATTTAGGGATCTCGGGCAAATCTGTCACGGATGGTACTTGGTCCTGCCATGAAGCCAGGGACTGGATTCAATGACCTCTCAAAGTCTGTTCCAGTTCTATGAGATATAGTGCAGTCCTACTAAACCTGTTATTTGCTCGGGAGGGTTGTTCCTCCCACATCTCCTGAACTAGGTCCCAAACCCCTCCTGGTTGCTTCTTATACAGAAGTTCAAAAAGTGAAAACCCTGTGGAGGCCTGGGTGACCTCCTGGACTGCCAACATGAGGGACAGGAGGAGCTCATCCCAATGACACTCATCAGTCAGGACAAACTTATGGAGCATAGCCTTCAAGGTCCTGTTAAAATAGTCTATTAAGCGGTGCATTTGGGGGTGGTAGATGGATGTGCAGAGCGTTCTGATTTTTAGTAATCAGCTGAGTTGCTGCACTGTCTGGGACATAAAGTTTGTCCTCTGATCTGTTGGCATTTCCCGAGGGACTCCAATGCAGGCAAAGATGTTCATGAGCTTGGTCGCTACTTTCTTGGCAATCATGGAGTGTAATAGCACTGCTTTGGGATACCCGGTCGAACAGTCTACTACAATGAGGATGAGCCGGAAATCCAGTAGCACTCTTCTCCAGGGGGTTGACTATATCAACTCCAGTCCGCTCAAAGGGTATACTCATGAGTGGGAGGAGAATTAGCGGGGCTTGCTCCACGGGCCAAGGCATCATGAGCAGACACTCCGGAGAGGAGGCACAAAAGTTTACCATCTCCCTGTGGACCTCGGGCCAAAAGAAGCAGGACAAGATCCGGGCCAGTGACTTTTCCCTCCCCAGGTGTCCCACCGGTAAGGGTGAGGCACCAAGAGCTGGTAGCACACCTCTTCTGTTTGCGGGTCCTCCTCTGTCCAGTATAGGCGGTCTCCCTGAATCTCAAAATAGGAGAACCGTCCCACCTGCTGGGGGGCGGGGCCCACAGTCTCTTCATTCACTACGGCCACCTGGTCATATGCTTGGATCTGGGTGTTGTCAGCTTGTTGCTCTCCCATGAAGAGGCGAGTCAGGAACATGGATTCTAGTAACAGAGCTGGCTCCTTCTCTGGTCAGCTGGGGGCATGTACAAGCAGTACCTGTACCAGTGCCTGAAGTCCCTAGACACAAAAGTTCTGATCCTGGGTGGCCTTAGGGTTATCTTCTCTGGGTGCCCGGGAGGATGGGTCTGGCAGAATTCCCTGAGTCTGGGATTCAGTAAGGGGCCTGGTTTCATGTCTGCTGGATGCATGGCCTCCCAAACAGGGAGCTGGGTGGCTGGTGATGAGATCGGGAGTTGGGGTATGCAGTACCCTTGAACCCATGAGCCCTTCTGGGCCTAGGGAGGGGCAGAGGATGCCAAAGTTCCTCCCCAGCCCTGGGTGTCCCTGAGGGATAGTTCCATCCGTCAGGACTGTGATGCTCTTGGTCAGTCTAGGACCCGAAGAGGAGGTCATCCCCAGGGTTCTGGCTGCCAGATAGTTCTCCATCAGTAGATTGCAATAGCCACGCTACCAGGGTGATTCTGTACAACCCATTCCCTCCATGCAGAGGATAGGATTCTGGGTAAACTGTTCGAGCAAGAGCTGCTCGCCAACTTCCATGCCTGTCTTTGTTTCTAGCTTCAGCCATCTCCAGCAGGCATTGTGCAGCTTCTGGGTGACGAGGTTGGGTTGGGCTCCTGGCAGGTACTGTTCCTGGCAGGTACGTTGTCAGAATGTCTCTTCCAAGATGTCTAGGGTGTCAAGGATAGCTGCTTTGACCTGGGCTTAGTCCTGAGCTGCGCAGTATGTAGTTTGGACTACTCTATTCAGGTATGAGTCCTGGACAAACCCTCACTGGGCCCTCTAGGCCCTAGGCTACCATGGCTACCCACTCAAATGTTTCCAGAAATGCCCGGGGATCATTGTCCGACCCCATCTTGTCAAGATTGATAGATGCTGGCACAGGTGCAGGCGCACAGAGCTCGGCTGAGCTCATGGGTTGTAGCAGAGAAGTCACATGTTGCATCAGCTGCTGTTGTTGGACCATCTGTTGTAATAGCTGCTGCTGGTTGGCGTTTTGCTCTGCCATCCACTTCAGCAGCAGCTCCATCTCCCTTCAAGGGCTGAGCTTGCACTTGCTTGTTCAATTGCTGACTCTTTAATAAGGCCCTTCACCAGTGCTAGGGCAGCACTCACATTCTCCACCACTCAGAGACTTTAAGGTCAGAAGGGACTATTATGATCATCTAGTCTGACCTCCTGCACAATGCAGGCCACAGAATCTCACCCACCCACTGCTAGAATAATCCTCTGACCACTTGTGGCCAGGTCTCCCTGGCAGAGGGGTGGCCTAGTGGATAGGTCCCAGATGTAGCCAGCAGAAAAGGGGTGCAGAATCCTGCCGCTGGTGCCCCCAGTTTAGAAACTTCGGCCCAATGTATTAGTATAGTCTTTAAGTTTGGGGCGTAGCCTCAACAGTCCTCGCAGGTTCCCCACACACACACCCTGTCCCAAGGGGTGTGGTTGGAGGCTTACTTGCTCTGGTGGCTAGCCAAGTGAACAGGCTTTGCTTCACGTCCTGCAGACTGCAGAATAGCGCTACTATCTCCTTGCTAGTCAGCCCCTAACTGAGCCAGGCTCCTTCCTTTTATCCTCCCTCCAGGCCTGGCATTGGCTACAGGTAAAGTGGGGAGGGGCTAGCCCGGCCCACAGGCTTTGTTTAACTCCTGTGATGCCAGGTCCTCCTCTCTTCACTCCCTCCCAGTCAGATACAGTAATGTACTGTCATTTCCACTACCACAGTGGTTCCCAAACTGTTCAGCATCACACCCCCTTTTTGATTTCTGAAAAACTCTCATGCCCCTTCTCCCCCGCCACCCCGCAAAAATAGCAGCAAAACTATAGCAGCAAGACTTGTGGAGAAAAAAAAAGGAACTGACCGGGGTAGCAAAACTTGAGGGGGTGGAGGGGAGAGGGCTGGGTCGCCTCACGTTCCCCCTGGAATTTCTTCACCCCTCCCCCCCCAGGCAGGCATGCCCCCCAGTTTGGGAACCCATGCACTACAGAAATATAGTAGGGCCATTAATCATAAACATAGTTCAACAAACCGGTCACTGCACTGGGAGCCATGAGATTTTAGGTCCTATTCCTGGTCATGACAAATGGACAGGTTATTTCACCATGCCTGTTTCCCCTTCCCCTGCTGAGTTTCTTGCTACCTGGACTGAAAGCGTATAGGAACTCAGATGACCATCTCTCACCATGTGGTTGTATAGTGCTCAGTGCAAGGGGTTCTCAATTGTGGTTGGGATCTACCTCTAGGGACTATTGTAATGCAGATAATAAATATGGAAATCTTTTTATGGCCTTCAGTGGGCATGGTCAGGCCTTTAATGCTTATTTTCTAAATTGAGATACTTGATTTATTCCTAAGGCCTCTGAAGGCATGAAGACTTGATGGCATGTGTTGGCCTTCATTTGAAAGGTGTGTGTCTCCCACAGAAAATGTCATTTTTTTTCCTCAGGAAGAACCCTCATATTTCACTTGCATTGCAAGCAACAACTCCCCATCACAAAACTTTCAACCTCTCAAAAATAATTGGGACAGGAGACAGAAAAGCTTTCCTTCAATGATTTATTTTCCTGCCATATCACAGTAATCAAGACAATATTTTGTCACCTAGGATCATCCAATTGTTTCATTTAAAAAGAAAGGAAAAACACACACAAAATTCCTACCTAATGCTTAGTAGCTTTCAGGGATTAATCAGACAAGGTGTTTGACCTTAGATTGTACTAATTATGATTAACCTAATTCTGCAACCCTAATAAAAAAACATCTTACCTCAATGGAAGACTGGGAGCTCGAAGGGAAAGGGAAAGGAGTAACAGCCATTTGGTTAACTGCATCTTCATTTCTACGAAACATCAAAAAAGGCAGAATCAATTTATTATGTATTCAAACACAAAGGCTAAATTATTCTTTCAAAATCTCTTCAGGAAAGGGCTCCTCGGATCAGGCATATAGGTATCACTATTGTATCTACTACCTGTATTAGTAATGTAGCTTTTTCTTTTCAGTTTATATTTGCTGCACACACTTGCCAAATTCTGAAACAAACTTAGCAATATGTTAAGAAGGGGTGGGGAAGAAGTTAATACAAAACACTAAATCCATTATGTTTTAATGCATTCTTACCCAAAGATAATACTTAAATAAAAATTTTAAGTATTATCACTTTTTCCTCTTGTATAACTATGTACTCCCAAGTAAACAACTGACAACTTGGATAGTCACAAAGATTTTTTTTATGGACAGCGGACAGATATTCATGCTGCCATCGCAGAGGATGTCTTAAGTGGTGGCATTCAAAATTGGCTGATGAAGTTAACACCTTTGTGATCTTAAACATAACCAAAGGGACTGTAGCTCATGTCATATTGCTTTCAAGAAATATTTGATATACGGGGGTGGAAAAAAAAGGGAGATTTCAAGTTTTGCTTTAAGAAAGGCTGTACAGGTTGGACCTCTCTGGTCCGGCACTCTTGGGACCTGACCAGTCTCGAACTAGGGAGTTTGCTGGATCAGATGAGGTCAACGCCAGACCCTCTGCTGCTAGCTTCTATGCTCTACTCCTGGGGAGTCGCCATCCCCCCCCATTTTGCTCCCAGCTACCAGATGCCCCTCCTGGCCACCGGCCCCAGTTACCAGGCTCTACTCCTGGCTGTGGTCAAGTTCCCTGCCGGCAGCCCAGCTCTGCTCCCTCCACTCCCAGCTGCCAGCCCAGCTCTGCTCCCAGCTGTTGTTCCCCTGCCAGTGGGCTCCTGGCTGGCCCCAGCCAGGTTCCATGACACGGGGCTCCTGGCTACAAGCCCCCTGCTGCTAGCCCAGCCCCTGCTCCCCCCACTTCCGGCCCGGAATCTGGTCCTGCTGCCACGGTTTTCCCCCCTGAGATTTCCCTCCTTCCAGTAAAAAGATTTCTTTCCTTTAATTACTGAAGTAAGAGATTTGGCAAAAGTACATTATAAAATCACTTTTAGAATGTGTCTGGAGGAACAACATGGTTTTTCAATTATCCCTCAAAGGGTTAAACATGTAACTCCAAGATATTCTGATTACTCAGACAGAAAGACAATGCTAGATCAATACCCTTCTATATAGCAGAAGATGTTTAAATGCCTATGATTGCACCAGGTAAATCCTACATGCAGAGGTTGGTGAATTCATTTACTTTAATCTTCAACCAAGCGGCCATACAGTTTAAAAAGCCTCTATATTGATGATAATTTCTCACTTTTAGGCTCTTTTGCAGTCTCTGTTTTTGGCCTGCCTCAAAACTTTGTAGCACTCAGAAAATATGCTATCATCTAAACTCCAAGGACCAATGTCACCAACCCATGCATGCAGGAGGCCATACCAGAAATCTGAAGTAATGAGCAGCATCAGATTTTCTTTTCATCTTTGGATAACGATTTCCAAGCATGTATCTCTGTACCAATACAGCGTATTAAGCAAAGACATTTCTTCCTGCTTTTATTTTCATAAGGGTACAATGCAATTACACTGCAGTTTTCATATGAGAATTAAATCAGCAAATCTATGGTGTCTAAGAAACCTAGTAATTTTTGTCTAGTATTATTCAGATTAAAGCCCCACCACAACCAGAAAGGGACAAAATATTACCTAAGCACTAATAGCAGGAAGCTAGCATAAACTAAAGTTCATGATGCAAAATCTATAGCTTGATGGTAAGGCATACACCTTAATCATCATGAGAGAAGTTGTAACTCTAAAACACTGCTGGACATTACTCTTAATATTGGTATTATAAAACTGTTTATACTTAATTACATAAAATAATTTATATTGAGTTTACATACACCATCATCAGGTTTATAAATATTTGTAATTTTAAACAAATGGTAATTTTTATTTTCTATTATAAAAACTTAGAATAATTCCGGGGCAGGGCTAACAGGATTGAAAAAGTAACAACTTGTAATCTACTCCAGTTGTGATTGTTCAAATTTAAAAACTTCAATACTTCAACAGAGACTGCTTCAGAGAAGACTCAAAGTGGGAGCATATTTTAAAATGACAGCGCTAAATGTTAACAGCTTTTTACTTTCCACTTCCAGAAATTTCCTTGATTAAAACAGGAACTTATTTAAAATTAAAGATCGACTTTTGACATTGGAGCAATGCTTAGTGGTCTGAACGTAATGTTTGAATTACAGTGGTTCCAATGAAATTTCAACACATTTGTGATGAGTTACTATGGTTACCACTAAGAAAACTATTCTAAGACGCCACTGCACGCAAAATATCACTCAACAGCAACTCGCGCATAGAGCTCCTGGAAGCATACATTCACATCTCATCAGGATTGAGACAGACCTTCATTCTTTCAAGGTCAAAGCAACTTCATGCAATTTAAACACTATGCTAGTCTTGCCGCTATAACTTTAAAATCTAAATGTCTCTCCATTTTGCAAGGATTATAAACATCCCATAATTTTACACCACTATCCTCCATGGTTTATTCAAGATACTGTGTGAATATTGTCCACCTGACCGTGGAACTCATCCTAAAGATGTGTCTGTATTTCAGCAATGTTAATGTGTATATGAGGTGAAGCACTTTAGGATGAAAAGTTACCCATGTTTTCACTGCAGTCAGAAATAAGAGTGCGGACTAATTATGGCAATAGCTGGCACTGTCTCATAGTGCTGAAGCAATAAGAACTCAAAAGGATTAAGAGAAGCAGGACTAAGCTTGCACTTTTGAAAAGGCCTGCACACCCAAGTCTCTCCCCACCTGTGTTAGTTTACTATACTTCCTTCCTCTTTACAAAACTTGCTCTCACTCCAATCCTTAATAGGAAGCAAATTTGGAATATATAGAAGAACGGACCATTTCTATCTAACAACTGTCCCTTCAATGACTCTTGACTATCATCTCAAATCACAATCTACATTACATCTTATTTAGAAAATACCGGATATTTATATTTTCTCAATTTGTTTCCCGAACAGAAAGCTCAAATACTGGACTGTCCGGTTCAAAACTGGACACCTGGTAACCCCAGCTCTCACTCCTCCCCCCCCCCCTTTTTTTGCAGTCTATGCTTAACTAGCTGCTAGTTTTATGACAATCATTTTAAATGTACACAATGTACCTGGGCTGCAGAGTAGGCAGGGTCCTGGCAATCTTAAAAAAGAGAATAAATATCTTAACTTCCTGAATGTAGAGACTTGCTCATATTTAAGTACCAAAACAGAGGAGCATAAAGGAAAGTTTAAAAAAATGGGGGAATGGGGGAATTTCAAATCCGTAAATAAAGTTTTTAGTGTCAGCCCATATTTGATCTATTCTGGAAATCAAACCCTACAGAATCTCCCAATAAAATACCTTAAAATATTTTATATAGTCATCGGGAGTAAAACTTCCACTGCTCTTCTAAATTATTGCCAAGTAACATTTCAAAGTTTGCCTAGCAAACCGCACCCAATGCGGGCTAACGCTGGGTATTTCAAAAAAAGCTTAGGGAGTTCGCGGCTTCATTCTCACTGAATTTCCAGTGGGCTTTGGACACTTAGCTCTACTAGGCTCCTTTGAAATCACATAATAGATGTAATTATTTCCAGTACAGGTTGGACTTCCCTGGTCTGGCACTCTCAGGACCTGAACCGGTTCTGAATGAGGGAGTTTGTCAGACTCGGGGAGGTCAATTCCGCCCCTCTGCTGATGGACTCTTGTCTCTCTCAGGCTCCGTCATCAGAGATCACTTGCTCTGGCAGAAGGGATCTCTCCTTTGAAATCACATAATAGATGTAATTATTTCCAGTACAGGTTGGACTTCCCTGGTCTGGCACTCTCAGGACCTGAACCGGTTCTGAATGAGGGAGTTTGTCAGACTCGGGGAGGTCAATTCCGCCCCTCTGCTGATGGACTCTTGTCTCTCTCAGGCTCCGTCATCAGAGATCACTTGCTCTGGCAGAAGGGATCTCTCA